CGGCCCCTGAAGTTCTGTCCCTTAGTGGCCCCCCCCCCCTGAATCATAGACTGCCTTGATGGTTGGCTGTATAATTAGCTGCCCATGGCAGACTGTAAAGTCTAAGTGGGCAAGTGGATCTCCTCCTCCATCAACGTTTGCTTTTTAACTCAAGCTCTGGAATAGAAACTACTAATAAATGGTATAGCAGACCTTGCAAATACATGTTAATTCTGTTGAATTTTTACTGAAGTATCCTAACAAAGAGAAGAACTCTGGATACCACAGTCTTTTGTTGCCTTCATTTTTCCAAATTTAACATATAAAAAAAAGCACTGTACAGGCCAGCTACCGGGACACTTCAGTAAATAAAATGTGGTCATCCAGTTTTGTCTATGCCACATTTCTTACCAGCCTTACAGGTTTTCTTGGGTTGCCTCAGGGGAACCCAAGGGCTGCAGTCACAGTAGTCATAGGAGTTTATGTCAGATTTTAGCTAATTTCTCAGTCCTCTGCAACTGTTCTTCATCTACCCCCAGCCTGAACAACTCACAGCGAAGAGCTAATACATGAAACTACAAAACAATGAAAAAACAGCATTCATTTCTACTAACCAAAGGTCTCATTCATTTCTTCACACTTGGACCCACATCTCTGCATTGCCCTGATTTTTTGCCTTCCCCACTTCTTTTCACCACCCAAAAAAAGTCAAAACAGCATTTGTTCCCAATATCCCTTCTCTACAATGTTCTCTTTCTCTCTGTCATCAGACCCTCTTTTTTCCACAGCCAAACTAGCCAAAATCTCACTTTCTCCATCTCCCAGGCTACTTCCACCCACAATCATCCCTTCTCTTGACTTAATTCATACAATCATTATTATTCATTTTGCAATAATGTATCTTGCATTGTCATCTGAATTAGTTTATACAGTACATTTGTTAAAAGCCCAGACCAAAGCTTACACATTCTTACGTCTCACCTGCAACACCTATAGTGACATACCTGAAGTGTGAGCTCAGTAAATCTCTGTTAAACAATAACCACTTTGGCATTCAGAAAGGTAACAGAAAGGTCCTCAAGAGCCTCTTTAGATAGAGACTAAGGGCATTTTCCAGATCTATTTAAAAAGAAAGGTCAAGCCTAAAGAAGTTTTTTTTTTTTTTTTTTTTTTAAAAAGCCTGCCCAAAGTTAAAGAAATGGCTTAGCCAACAATAAGACCAAGAGTGTCCCCACTTTACAAAAGGAAAGTTTAATAACTAAACACCACTCCCTCTGACAAAGATATGCTTACCTTCAACCCAACACTGGCCTGCACTAAAAGGAGGGTGCTATGTGTCGACATTGTGTTTCAGATAACCCAAGGAGGTGCTATGTCTCAGATAACCCAAAATGTCTGATAATGTTGAAGTCATTCCTATTAGACATGAAAATGTATAATATAATTCTGGAGCTAATATTTACTCTTTCAGCAACGTGAAAGATCGCTGACACATTCCTGAACTAGGACATTCTAACAGCGTTCCAACAGCTTTAGAGAAAATTTGCCTGGGACAGAATTTGACAGGCCAGATGACCCACCTACATATAATCAAGATATGGATGATATAGCATGTCTTTGAAGAGTGGTACAAAATACTAAATGAATCACATCACAGTTACCCTGGCAGGAATGATTATAATCAAAGATATTACACACAAACAAATAAACAAAAGGGGCCCGGAGCAAAGCTTATGTATTAGAACGACAGACTTTGTCAGCCAAAGGAAATGACTGGAGATGAAAATGTTCTCAATTCAAAACATTTCATTATGCACTCCTAGCAGTTTAAAAAAATGAGCACAAATAATCAAATAAATTAATAAACATACATGTACTAGTATACAAATATATTATGTACATTATAAACACAACAGAAATTTTAAAAAGCTAAAGACAGAAATAAGCCTTTTAAAATATTCTTCCCATACCCAAAGGACTACTGGGCACATCACTTAGGGTTCACCACCCCACTTGGGTTCCCAAGTGCTTTAAAATACTTATAAAAGTGCAAAGCCAAAGATAATTATTCTAATTATCTGGAAAACTCCTGAATTACTTTCTTCCCTTTACTGAATCAGATGTGCCCTTAATGTCCATAGCAAACCCATTAAAATTCTAATGGTAAAAAGTCAGAGAATGGGAAATGCACAAAAACTCTTGGAAGCTTTACACTGGATAGTAACAAGAAGCTACAAAGTATAAATGACCTAGAAGCAGAATTGATTTTGTTCGGCTTTGATCTACACTGTGTCTCCTGTAATTGCTGTGATTTGCAGGCACAGTGCTTTAACCCATGTGCTGTTTCCGGCCACAGGAAGGAACTGGGTAGTCATTAAAAAACTGCCACATTAATAGCCACTTACTAGCTCACCTGAGGAGTGCAATGTTGGACAAGTAGTAAAGAATACCAACTTTATTTGTTTTACTACTTGTAAACTCCCTAAGGAAAGGGGCAAGCTGGTATATTTTCTGAACATTCACCCTTAATTACCCACACAAGCAAATTAGAGAAGAGGCACTGAGAAGTTAAAATGAATAATCAAAAAAAGAAAAACTTTTATAATCAGCTTTGTAATGAAGAAGGCGAATACATTCAGGAATAGTCAGGCATCTTCTTTCCTTAAATTGCACAGAGACTATCAGCCCGAAAACGGTAGAGCACAGAGGTCAAATCCGTGGGCTTTGGCGTCAAGAGACTAAGGTCTAAGCACTGGCTTGCTTAACTCCCTGGTTGCACAACCTGAAGCAAGTTATTTAACCTCTGTAATTTTATATTCCCTCATCTGTAAAATGAGGAAGCTAAAACTAACTACCTCGTAGGTTTGTGGAGAAGATTAAATGATATAAGGCATTTGAAGTACTCAACACAGTACTTGTTAAATGTTTAATAAATGTGTATTTTAGTATTATTGGAGTTTACGGACTGGATGAAAATCAGCAGGGAAGCGGGAAAGAGAGAGAATGTAATTAGGGTCAAGCATATAGCAAAGTGATATAAAAGTCACTTTAAGGAACAACTGCTGTTCTTCTAAAAATATCTGAGGAACATGCGTGTTCCCTAATTGCTTTTGTGAAAACCATGGTTTTCAACCAGATACTTATTCTAGGAAAGCAAAAAGAGAAAGGTGCTTTTCTTCCTATCTGAAAGGGTTCTCACGCTATGTTTCTGGAGACCTAGCTACCTGTCACAGTGCTAGGAAACCCTAGTTCAGTGTGATGGAGGCCCCCGGGGCTACTGAGACTGGCAGAGGAGGTGGAATTCATACATTACCTGTGCCCAGTGGTTTTTAAATACAATCATGCATGTTTCTGGGTCTACTCCCTGCAGGCTGACAGCCTGCTGGAGTTGGCTTTCTGTCGAAACCGATGACATCATAAACCTTCATATGTCAATGCTTCTAAGTCATATTTGATTTTCAAGGACATTTGGTAAGCAGTCACTAACTTTCAAGTATCAAATTAGAAATGTAACTTCTTGTTTCATTGTCACCTTCCGAAATCTGTAATGAAAATAACAAAAAATGCACCTTATTATGTTCATATATTAAATAGACACTATTAAATTTAAATCAAAGCATAGACATTCTCAAAATCCAACGCAGAACAAAACATATGCAAAATAGATATTTATACTCAGTCTAAAGATTTTCCTATTTTTCTCACCTTGTTACTAAAAATATAAAATAATGATGCTACCTAAGCTACATGCATAAATTAAACAATTATTGAGTTTCTTCTTTCCACTAAAACCAAGTACAACTTCCCAAATTACCATTCTAAATCACGCAAGTTTAGATTCTATAATCAAGCAGGAAACTATGATATCAATGCTTGTGGACTTTAAAAACGCCGAGTAACAGTAAAACCGTGAGTTCACAGTGACAAAAATACGTGGCTTGCTGCAACTTGGGGGAGTTATAAAAGAGCTTCCAGACTCCTGCGCCCAATATGATTGAATATTTTTTTAAATCAATGACTGTCGTAATGGAATTGAAAGCATTCTCAGTCATTTGTGGCTATAAAGGAGGTTAAGGTTTCTAGCTTTTCTGAAAAACAATAGAATTCCAAGTAACCTTGACAAATCAGAAATAGAAATGACCCATCAAAAACAAGATAGTGTTTATTAGGTGTGAATACAAGGTAGCACACTTACAAATGAAAAATGAATTATGTGGATAAAATATGAAGAAATCTTGACTACAACAGAGTCAGTAGGGGATAAAAGATATTGAGTCATAGAGTGTACAGTGAATCTGATCCAGCTGTGTGGTGCTAACCCTCTTACAAAAGCAATAAGATAGTGGTATTATCTAACCAGCTTGATCAGCCCACAAAGGCACTGTATACAGTTCAATTTTTTTTATTTTTTTTTTTTTACTGTACAAACTGGAAAGAATATCAGAGAAAAGTAATTACAATTATCAGAGTGCTGGAAAACAAAATCCATGACAGAAGTTTGCAGACCTGTAGTGCCAAAAGAAAAACAGGGGGGAAAAATGGCTATTTTCAACTGAATAATATGAAAGGTATTACAAGAAGAACAGTAACCAATTGTTCCTTTCTACAAACAATAAAATGTGAGAAAGAGGGCTTAAAGTGATGATTCAGGTTCAACTTAACAGGTTAAGTTCTTCATGGAGAGTGAAATTAAACACTGGAGAATGGTTAAGGAATATTCAAAAAGTACTTCTGCAGATGGCAGGGAGGGACTATTCAACATTAAAGGATCTTTTAAAAGTTTTTAGGACAGAAGAACAGAAAACTTGCAAGAATTAATAACTCTGTGGATGAAACACTTTTTAGGGAGAATGGAGGAAGATTAAAATCTGTGGAAGCTGATAAAACACCCCTTCTCTGTTGGAACAGCTCCAAGGGTAGGCAAATAACCAGAGGCTTTATCCACCCAAACAAAGCCGTGAGTGAGCAAATTCTCTGCTGAAGATGTTCCGAGGCCACAGACCTTTGCTTCTTCCAGCTACTTAATGAGAAGTTGCGATAAAGTTAGTGAGGTCTGGGCGGTGGCTGCCAGGCCCCAGGACAGCCCCTTAATTGAGGGTGGGCCTGTACTATAGGCTGGGAAAATGTCCCTAGGCCCCAAAAATGAATGACGAGTGATTGCCCAGGCTTTGAAAATTTTGTAAGGAGGAGATTTATTTCCTTCTTATCTCCAGAGAGAAAAGGGGAGAGCACAGGTATGTGCAGGGAGACGGGTGCACGTTGCTTGCACCACAGAGGAGGCACTCGCCAGCCTGCGGGGAATTAGTGGGGGTTGAATGAAGACCAGGACTAAAGAAACAAGCCAGCGGGGAGGAGGGACATCTGCCCTACGGCCTGTGGCGTGCAGCTGCACAGCATTCTGGGTGACAGGTTTGGACTGGATGCCACATGCCTGATGTGAGTCCCTGGGGTCTCTGGAGTCCCCCAGAGGTGAGGGCCAGTCCTCCTCATGCTTCCTGGGAGAGATATGAGCACTGGGATGGATGACGGCTCAGGTTCACTCAGACCCCTTCCCCCAGGCCATGTGGCGTGGGGACAGGGTGAAGAAAGCAGGTCTGACCCCACCCCCTTCCCTGAGAACATCCCCTGCCTCTGCCTCCCTGGAGCCCCAGGAGAAGGCGGCATGGGTTCCAGGTGGGGCTGTGGAGTGGGGACTGGGCACAAGCCTCGCCTTCGCTGGCTGCACAAGAGAGCTCCCCACCGATTCCAAACTCCGGTCCTCGTCCATGAAATGGAAATGGCAATACCTACGGCTCCTGGGGACGTTGCACAGACTGAAAATGTATTTACAAATTTCTAAAAAGCGGTTAGCACCAACAGTGGTTCCCAGTTTAGAAAACAGTATCAGCAACTCTGAAAATGGCTCAGAGACCAGAGCCCCTCAGCCCAGCCTGCTGCTCTGAGCACCTCCTTCCCTTCCAGCTTCTCATTACAGCCCTGAGCGGTGAGAAGTGGTGGTGTTTAATGCTGCAGAAACTATCAACAACTTTATTACTATTCGACCCTCTTGATCAAAGAGTGGCATGCATTGGGCATGGCGACTGTATTCAAAGTCAGGGAGGAAGAGATGCGTGCCCACTACGAGGTCATAGAGTGCAGAGACCAGGCTCAGCCACACCAGGTGCTTGTAAGCACACAGGATGGACGCAGCAGAGAGGGGAGACAGGTCAGTGACACCTGTGGAAGGCTTCATGGGGAAGTAGGACATGAGCTAGACACAGGAGCAGAAGTGAGAGAGAACAGGCAGTGCCAGCAGGAGGCCAGGGACAAGAACACGGCCCCACGTGTCTCACGGAGTTCAGCAGATATCAAGGTTCCAAAAGAGTTGTACCTAAAACATGTAATAATCAGAACATGCATTCTCTAGATATTCAAGTAAATTGGGTGCTGGGTTGGGGGAGGGGGTCCAGTATAAACAGCATGTTTTTCAGATATAGGATTTAGGGCAGAAAATACAAATTTAGCAATCCCTTCTTCTTTCAAGTGGAAGGGACACTGAGAGCCCTACTGCGGATGTCAAACATTTTCCTGCTGAGAACTTCTTCTGGCTCTGAGATTCTACGCTGTTTCCTGAGGTTGCTGACAGGTGGAGCTGCCTCTGGTGCTATTTCAACACAAATTCTACACTGCAAGGACTGAACTGACTATACTGTTTTCAAAGACATTACTGAGTGGCCACATATATCTCTCATTAATATTATATGTGAAAGTATTTTCCACCAATAAGGAAAAAAAATTCTATTAAACATTGTTGGAGACAGGGATAACTGACCTAAGAATCATATGCATTTTTATTTGCCCTTATTTTTATATCTTTTATTTGAATATAAAAAAAGTATAAGCATATGTTTCCATATAAAGATATACCATAATCATAAAAGCTTAGATTGTAGTCATCTAAATCACACCTTTTTCCAATGTAAAAATTCCTTCAACCTCATCCTGGACAGACATCTGATTTCAGACTCTATGGAAAGCTGCAACACTTAGGAAAGCTATAACTGTGTCAAAATCTCATTTTTTCCTGAATAACTATATTTTATATATCCATCTCTCATGATCAGACTAAACTTAAATTGTAAATATTTTGGCATTTAGTTATATATTATCTCATACCATCCTTCAATTCTTTTGCCTACTTAAATAGATCATTTAATAAGATGAGAGAGAGCCAAGGGAACATTTTTATTAAGGGAAGAGTAGTCATATTTGTAGGACTGATGGGACGGAACCATTGAATATGGAGAATCTGAAGATACAAGAAAAAGGATTTCGATAAAGCAAACAAGTGGAGCAGAAGAAAGTGAAGTCAAGAACACAGGTAAGAGAGCCCTAGAAGTAAGAACAGCAAAGTCAACCTTTTTCATAGTGAATTACCAAATGAGAAGTGCTATTTTGAACTTGATGAAAAGACTTGGCGGACCCCCTTCCCACCTTTCTTTATTCATGCCTCCTGATATCTCTCTGGTTGGTATGTAAAAATGGTCAGAGAATTTAGGTAGATTGAAAGTAGGAAATGAAAGGTAAGGGCTAAGAATTTTTAGCTCAGTTCTCGAGGCCTGGAAGTCTAAAAATTTAAAGTGCCAACTTGGGAACTTCAGTTTTGAGCTAGGAGACTCTAGTTCTAGCTTTAACCAGCTACGAGACCTTAAGTAAAAAATGGGCCTCTTCATTTGGAACCTGACTTGGGTAAGTAATTAGGACTAAAATATGACTTCTTAGGTCTCTTCCAGCTCTCAAGCCTTTATTTTATGTACTTTATTACAACTGTTATACTAATTGGGAAGGAGTAATCAGATAATCACTAAAGATGGGATAATGGCCTTTTGTACCAAAATCTTTTTAAGAATTCTAGTTGTAAATGGGATTCTATCTTCATTCTCTTTACTATTAAAGCATATTTCTATTTCTTTTTCTTTTTTTTGAGGTGGCTGGCTGGTATTAAGCATATTTCACTAAGGAACTCGCAGCACAGGAATCAACCATATCAAATATAATCCCATGGTTGGATTTTTTGGTGGTTTTTTTTTTCTTCTTTTCCTTTCCTGAACACTGCCAGTAGAAAAACTCATTGTTTTAGAATGCACTTCGGAATGTTCTGAATTGGCTGCTATCAACTTTATCAAAAAAGTCTATTATTGTAAATGTGCTTATCATATAAAATTTCACCTAAGGGTAAAGACGCTTCAAATATTGGGAACACCTGAAGAGAGGCGAACTTTGTGCCCTCAGTTATAACTAACAGCAGTGCGGGGGAGGGGGGATCGTTTTGGGTCAAACTACCTGAGACAACTTCTTCTTAAAGCCTAATAAAATCCTATTAAATCTAAATCCTCCCTGTGCTCTAATCCTCTGGCCCAGTTTCCTTTTCTCTCTTGCTGTAGTATCACATGGCAATGCCGGGGTGTGAAAAATAAAGCAAGTATCTAATAGCCCCTGGCTCTCCTGGACCTTGTGCTAAGCCCCCCTCAACTTGCCATAGTTTGACTCTGGCTCATTCATTGTT